GGTGACATTAACCCCCCTGTTAATAGTGTTTTTGTTTCTATTTTGTAGACAGTCTTAACCAGCCTGATGCAGACCGCAAGGGACGTGAGCAGTAATGAATTGCTCGTCATTAAGGTGAATTATACCAAACTTAAATGTTAATGTGAGTTTTGAGATATGCTAGCTGCATGGCTAGCTGCATGGGGAGGGATGGCAGAGTCATTCTGTCAGTAGCTTTGATCTGACTTAAATATTGACTTATTGAATGGATTTCAATGAAATTCTGTCCAGACATGCATGATCCCAAGAGGATGAATCCTAATGACTTTGCTGATCCCCTGATTATTCCTCTAGAGCCACCAGAAGGTCAAAGTATTAACTTGCCCTGTGAAATCCTGAACCCTGAACATTTACCCAATGTTTCAGCTCAAATTATTTGCAGAAATCCATGTTCCTCAAATGATGTATCCTATTCACTAATATGGCTCTCTGTCTTTTCATCTGGCATGATTATTATTTCAAAACTTCAATCTGCCTCAAACTTTGGTTAATGTTCATGTACCTGCAAAACGAGTTACATTCCCATCCTTCGCCTACAATTGATTGCTTACATGGTAACGTAAAAATGGTCAACAGGGTGAATATTATACTTACTCAGCATTAGCTTTTAGCTCAAAGCACAACTGTGCCCAAGTCCGGCCTTGCACAGCTGCCAGCACGGCTGTAGATCCTTATTGTATGCATGCACACTCTTGTATTATACATGACTGTATTTGATGTGTTTATAATCCTAATTATTCACGTTTTATGTGTCCAGGAGTATTTCAGTATCCCTCTGAGCAGCCTGAGCTCAGTGCTCAGTTCAGCTCACATCACTACCATCAGACTGATCCTCCAGTACTACAGCAGAAACAAGGATACACTGCAGGTGAAAACACCATTACACAACAATGTGAAACCTACCAGAACATTTTCTGTTCCTTACATTATTTCTTCTTCTTAATTCTTAGTTATTACACAGTATACAGTTGCACATTCCAGCTGACACAGAACTGGTATTTGCTTTTATTTGCTAGTTGCCAAAAAAGTACCTGTCCACCATGGTCTCAGTGCTGTTCCAGACCCACCTGGTTAAAGATGGCAGTCTGTTCCCGGATCTGGCCGCCCTGCTTGCTGCAGCGAGCCCAGCTGACATCCAAGCTTTGCCCTCACTGCAGAACAACATCAATGTGTAAGTCATAGTGTCAACTAATCATTTAGAATGAACAAATACTAATTTGTAATAATCTCAATATTGTTTTACTTATTCTAAGCAGTTTTGTTCTCTTTTTCTCTGGTGTGTGAATGATGATTGTTTCCTTGGTTTCTTAGAAGTTAATTTGTGGTGCTGTTTATGTTTGACGTGAATCAGAACTGAGTTTATCATCTGCCAAGAGTATGCAATGAACACCATGATTTATTACCAATGTCGCACAATCCTGCAATCTCACCTACACACATTATGCTTCCCTCTCAACACAGCACTAGTGTCAGGCTTCTGTGAAAAAAGAGATGTGTCATTGCACCTTGAGGTGCCAGGACCATGCATAATACATAGAAAGTAAAGGAAACTGGTTCACTGACTAGATTTCAATCTCCAAAGAGATAAGACATTAAAAGGTAGAACAAAAAGAAATGTAGTTGTATACTCAAGACCAAATTAATCTCAAGTTTTGTCTCTAGACAGTACAATTAAAGAAAAAATACAACTATGCTACAAATTCTCTCATAGTATCATAGTCAAACATGCACTTATTGTTTATTTTCTTTATAGAAGGACCTAACAAGTGTCCATTGATGATACCACTAAGACAATATGTATGGTAATTATGTAGCTGCCAGAGGCAAGTCAATTATAGCTTAGCATTAAGCCTGGTAAATGAAGAAGAAAACAGCCGGTCATACAATTCGCACCATAAAATCCAGTACACAAACAAGATATTACGTGTTATTGAAAATCAGAGACCTTTTCTTCCTTTAGACAGAGTCATGGTATCTGTTTGCACCTCTTTAGAGTTTTTTTAAATATCGCCCAGTTTATTTCCTCTGACTATACTTTCTTGAGATTTGTCCATCCAAATTCAAAAACAAATATATTCCTCCTTCCCTCTGTATTGTACACAAGCATGAACAAGCATGAACCCTTGCTGAGTACACAAACAACCGTGATTAGATATTCGCTGAATTTAACAAAACGTGTATTTATCAACCATCTCAACTAACTCGTATCAAAAACCAATTGAAGTGAATTCACCAAAATGTTTTCTTCAATATTTGTGCCCATTTGAGTTGAATATGTGTTACCCAACCCAACCTCTCTTTGTTTACATTGCTTAAATGCAATGCAATATTCAATAAAACAGTTAATTTAAAACACAATAAAAATCGTATTAATATATTTTTTTTCTAGGAGGGAGACCATTAACAGAGACTTGAAGATCATGACTCTGGACCAGCGGCAGGCCTTTGGCTCGTGGTACAGCAAAGTTATGCCTGCCTCTTACATTATCAGAAGTCATCAGTCACTCATCAGGGACACCGGAAACCTGATTGCCTACCTGCCCTTCCACAACTTCCAACACCTCGCCTCTGCTCAGGTAACAGCCTCTGAGCCCTGACACCTGGCTGAGAAACCCGAGCAGCTGGCACTCCGTCAGCTGCTTTATCCTCGGGCAGAGCAGAGCTGTCACAAACTGCTCACAGGAAAGCAAAGACAGACTCTTCTTTCTCTGTCAATGCGTGTCATATGCTCCCAGCTAGTGTTCAATAAGTAAAGATAGGAACACATGAATTACCAATGACCCAAAGAAAAAGGGGTTACTGACCTTTCAGCACTCAACCATGAATTTCAAGGGTTTTAATGATATACAATATTACATTTCCACATTAAGATGTTTAGAACATTACTAAATATTGGTTCTATACGTTGTTCGAAGTGGAACAGCTGTATCATTTACTTAATGCTTTGTATTTTACAACCAACAGAGCAAAAAAGCTCATTTTTGGAAAATGTGAAATGATTCCTTTGAATGAATCATGGTTCTGTTCTGTATAGGTTTGAAGACATCTAAATAATCTTTTCTCTAATAATATTTCCTCACATTTCAAAAAGTTTTAAATTTCACATGTTCAGACACAGAGTTCTGTCATCGTGTTTCTCTGCAGCTGTTGGACGGGCTGGATGTGTTGCAGAGAAACTCCCTCACTTCTCTAAAGCAGGAGTTTATAGCTCACAAAGTCATCGGCACCTACAGGAATCTGACGGCTCAGGATTTTATCAGGTAAGGAATGACTGAAGGAAGGCACCTTCAACCTTTCTGTCCATGTCAACTGTTCTTAGACATAAACTCACCTGTTGTAACCTGGCAAAACACATTTACATGTAGTGTGATTAATTTCTTCAGGTTAATTTGACACTAGTTAGTATAAGTGTAAAGTAATAATCGGTCAAGTATGTTGCTTCCATAGTTAGATAAAGTTACATCAATATAACTTATAATAATAATATCATTAATGTAATTTACACTTAACGTGTATTCGTACATTTGAGTCGTGACTTTCTGTTAGTATGGTCAATTCTAACAAAATCTTATATGACTTTGTATATGTCAACTATTTAAAGTAGTCACTTATTTTTATATTAAGTGATCAAATTACTGCATAAAAGAAAAAAGAAAGTTTACTGTTTTGCACAATCTATAGTGGAATTTCACTACAGAAATTGTAGTGTTTTGAATTGAAGTGTAATTTAAAATATAAAAAAAGATATATATAAATCTAGAAACCCACGCAGAAACAACTTATGCATTTGTAAACTAGTGTACCAGTAATACGGCTCTGTCTCTAGCTTTTATCTTACAGATATACTATTGTCAGATTTGCTTTGGGCAACTATGAGTGAACAATTTGTATACAAGATGTGCACATTTATTCACAACTGCTCCCAGGTGTGTTGTCAATAAAACGTTGTTTCTCTTTTAGGCTTGGTAATCTGTCATGCATGGCAGACCCTGAGGACCTCCTTGTATACAAAGACACTGAGGCCTTCAGTGTCATCCGGGACATTGTGATGAACTGCACACGTGACAGTATAGGTCTGCCCAGCCATCTGGTAGGAACAGAGAAGTTACTTTGTGTTTTTTCTTTTTATATTTTAATATGTGTGTTTTCATTCAAAGGAGTATTCATATCATATCATTTCTGTCCGTGTGCTTGTTCTAAACCTAACTTTCAGATTTCCAGTGTGTTACTGAACAGCGCAGAACTAAAATTCCCCTCCCTGCTCAGTCCTGACCGCCTGGCAGAGCTCAGCCACCTCCTGCCCTCGCTGGGTGTGACCTTCCTGCAGGGCGTCACCCCCTCACAGCTGCTCTCTGCCCTCCCTGCCCTCAGCGCTGTTCCATTCAGCCCTGCTCAGGTAGGGGAGCATACTCAACCTGTAATGTAAAGAGGAAGATGCAGCAATCATCTTCTATCGCTCAATTTCTATTGCCATTTAACATACACAGTTTTCTTTTGTGTAAAAGGAATATCAGGGGTTTAGTGAGTTTCTTTCACTGCATCAGCCCCTATTTGTTGTACTTGGTTGGGTTTCCTGGCAGCTGGTGGGGGCTTGTAGGTTTGAGGAACAGCTGACAGGCAGTCGGTCTGCAGCAAACTGACCCCTGAAGCGAGACGGCTCATGAGACAAAAACCTAGGCTTAACTTCAACCTCAGCTATCAACTGAACTGGAGCCTTTTACTTTTACCTCTGCCTCACAGCTGCTTTTGCACGTCACAAGGTGTCCTTGGAGGATAAACCTCTTCGAACCTACAGATACATCATGAAGCAAACGTAAAGTTAAATTATTCTAGTTAATAGGGAATTAATGGGAAGGACAGTGTACAGAGCTCAAGTTATTACATACAAATCATCCGACATACTAAGGTACTAAAGTATTTTATTTGTATTCATTTGCTGTCATTCTGTATATTTTTCAGGCTTCCATAATTGTGGAGAAGTTGTCTTCAATGACAAGTGTGAGTTATTTTATAAACCCATCACAATGTGAGTTTAGTATAGAGATACTCTCTGTATTTCTGCACCCTGAGCCTAACACCGCCTCCCCTCCGCCCAGCTCACCGATCCCGGCCAGCTGCAGAAGCTCGGCTCGCTCATTGTGGGAATAAAGACAGAGACCTTCTTGACTCTTACGTCGGACAAGCTGCTGACTTCCCTCCCAGATATGGCCCAACACACACCAGGCCTCAGCCCGCCACAGGCTAATGCTATCTCCACAAAACTATGGGTACATCACACACTTAGATCCTTGACTTGAAGAAATGTATGGAAAAAATCTCACCTTTTCTCTCTATGGGTAGATTTCATATTTCTTTAAGTCTTTTGGAGTTGTGTGGGTATTTATCTGTATTATTGGACGGCTGAAACACTTGTCCTTGTGTTGTCTCACCTCTGTTGTCACCAGGGCTTCCCAGAAGTAGTGGGTTGGCAGGATGATGTGGAGCCGTTGCTCTATTGCACGCCCCTGCTCAGCGTCATGCCAAGGACTCGTCTGCTTGTGAACAACCTCACCACCGCATCCTCCAAACCCTGGAACACACAGCAGGTATCACACAGCCAATCTAGTGTTGTCGATTGTATTCAACCTGTTTGCTCTGTACCTCCTAATACATTCGCTCCCATCTCATGAGTCATCATCACAGTGGGCATGCAAAGAGGTTCATTCAAAGAGTTATATTTATTTGTCAAGTTGTTTTGTTTGGACAAATATCAGAGAAGCCTCAAAAGATACGAAGTCAGTTAGTTTTAAGCAATAAAATGAATGGTTTCAGAATATCCCAATATATTTCTAAACGTTTTCTTAACTGACCTCTGCTTTTCAGATTTTTGAATAATGTAAATTATGAGAAGTTATGTAACATTTGTGCAAACCATTTTTAGAAAGTGTAGATATAGTTATTAACAGAGAAAGTAATTCAATGCAATGTTTTGCCCCACGTTGGAATATAGGCTATCGAGAGTTTTGTCAGTTCCCAAAAGCTTGCTTGACATATAACCCGAGCCTGTGACTTAAACATTGTGATCTCTTCCTGCTTCCTCTGATTAAACATGCTTCCTCTGTGTGACATGATTAGGTGTATATGACAGTATCTTCATTAACTGCTTAATAATTGAGCGGAGAGGCAGACTCAAACACATCTTCACTGACACTATGAATGGACGTCCCTGTGAATACAAACAACTCAGACAAAAACTGTCTTCATATCAGATATCCATGATCCTTTAAACTGGGGAAGAAGCAGCCCAGAAAAAAACCTGTTGCAAAATAACGTTTTCTCCATTTTCTCCCCAGGCTAAAGCAATTTTTAAAGAGGTGCTTGATAGTAGACCAAACGTAATCAAACAAGATTTTCTGTAAGTAAAGTTCTGTGATAAATGTGTACATACTATTTTCTCTGTGCCAACTTCTAGTCTATATCCAAATTATAGATACTATTGGCAGCAAATTCTCTAATTCTCTCTGTCTTTTAACAGTGTATGTAACAAATACATTAAAAATATTGACACTAATCTCTATGTAATCAGGAGCCTGGGAACAGTGGGCCAGGGTGTGAGTTGTAAGGTCTTACAGGAACGTTTTCGAGCTGATTCCTCACCCTCTTCAGTGAGAAAAATCCTGACCTCCCTCAGACAGCAGCCTGGTGTTCTTCACACCTCCCTGGTAAACTTACCTGTTAGATTGATGCCACTCTATCTACCTATCTATAATAAATATGACGTAATTAAAATAAATAGCTTACTATAAATACAAGAGACATGATGTTCTTTCTCCTCTGTCCTTCATCTTCTGGACAGAAAAAGTGTGTGATCGAGGAGCTGTATCAGTTTGAGTTCTTCTCTGAGCTGCTCAAAGATCTCGGGGCTGAGATTGCCCTTTCCATGCCGTAAGTCAAAAGTTGACAATGATCACTGTACTTTTAATGTGCTAGCATAATTATCAGATACTTTAAAACATTATTGAGGGGAAAAGTTCATCTCATCATTAAGAATTATATGTCAAAAACCTATGTTGCAGGAGATATATGGAAAAGCCTTGTGCACATATCATGAGCTATTAAATATTAACACATATTGTAACGTTTACTTCAATAACATTAAAGGTAAAAGGCCACTTGCTCCATTTGGATATGAAATATATATTAGATGTTCAATTTTTTTACTGTAAAATAAAACAAATTTTTATCATTTTTATTTTACAGGGTTAGCACCATTAAGAAGTTTCCCACAGATATGATGGAGACTCTGAGGAAAATAATTGTCCAGGAACCTCATCACTTCCTCTTGCTCTCCAGAACAAAACAAGACCTGCTGGTGGACAAAATGGTGCAGAGGATGGTCAGTAGAGCCAAACCGTGTCGCTATACTGATTCCTTTTCTTTGAAAAAATATATATAACAAAGGCAAATAAACAAGAAGAAGATGGTAGATGTTCATATGTGAAGAGAGTGTCATATTTGCTTTGTGATCAGCGTTTTGTGGACCCTTTCTCTGCAGGGCATGTACACAGGGGTGTTCACTGAGGAGGAGTTTCGTTCACTGGGCATTATGGCTCCGTTTGTGGTGGATGAGGTGTTGATTCAGCTGGACCGCAGCTTCTTCATCGAGGACCTGGATTTCCTCCAAGGTCTCTGCTACAGCAACAGCAAGATGGACATTATGGCTCGTATCCTGCAAGAACCTGCTGCCTTCGGGTAACGATACCACCTATAACTGAAACTATATTAGTTGGAATTGGATTCTCTATGCTTTAATTCAACAGTGAACTTTTGAACCACATGGTAGCATAAACATGCCATTACATATCCTTGGCGCATTTCTGATGACTCCAAAGAAAACCATACATTCACTTGTAAAAATATGAAGTGTAATCAGAGTAAACACATAACCTAACTTCATAAGTTTAACAGTTTGTCTGCAGCTTTTGAATTTTCAGTGAATATTTAATTTGCTATAAGAAGCATAGAAGAGGATGGCTGTTTTTGTGAACATGGCTTTATGCATAATGATATTTTGCCATTATGAGAACTGAATGAATCAACAAACTTTCCAATGCATCTTAAGAAATCAGCCTCCTTATAATGCATGATGACTTTCCACTATAAAGTGTGTTTTTGGGATTCCTTAACTTATACAGTGAACTATGTACGTTAACAATTAAGGAGGAACATATGTAAATAATCAGAATTATATGGATTATGTTTTATATGACAAATGCTCTACCAGTTTTATGAAAAATTGTTCTTCTGTTTTCCCACAGCCCGGTCAACAACTGGAACCAGACAACACTCAGCCAGGTGGACCGGTTTCTATTCTTCCTGCCTGAAAACAAACTGCAGGAGATTTCCCTGGTGAGTTTACTGCAGGGTTTTCTATTTGTTTGGTATAACATCTGCATTACTCCTGAGGTTGACTGACAGTTTGCTCCTGAGATGAAGGAAATTGCAAAACTAGTTCCTGTTACGGATTTAGTCAACGTGCAGAAATCTAAAGTGAGGCTTAGTGATTGTTACTTAATCCATGGCGTGTAAGACCAACAAAGGCTGAAAACAAATCTCTCAGGTGTCGCTTCTCCCGTAAGTGTCAGGATCAGGTTGTGAAGTTCCCAGTTTCACGTAAACATTCATTGTTTGTCCGTAAGTGTTGATGTTTGTGTTCCCCCAGGCGGTGATGACTGTGGGCCGGATAGAGAAGCTGTTCATGAGCCAGCGTCAGTGGGAACGTGGGGATGTGGGGATCGACTGTTTCAACGAGAACGAGAGGAAGAGATTCTTTGAGAAGCAACAATTTGTTCTACAGTTTTTCCTGGGCTTTCTCAAAATAAATCCTGATTCACGTGAGCATCTCTTTGGTTCCTAACATCTCAGTCTAATAGTCAGTCAGCGAAGAAACAGTTTAACATTTTGGTCAATAATGCCTATTTCAGCTACTGAAACCAAGGCAGTAACAGGATAGCTTTTAACAAACAGACTGTCTTTGAAAAAAGAGTTTGACATTATGGCTTTTTCCTAGTGTTAGGCTGGACATTCGATATCACTCTGGTGTCTGTCTGTTGAAAAGTCTTAGCTTAGCTCAAGGACTTGAAACAGTGAGATTCAAAGCACCTTTAATGCTGACTTATTAAATTCCATATAACTGTTTTTAATCTGTTCAAATTCTGAAGTGTTAAAACACAGTAATAGTAACAAAAGTTATAACACTTTGAGCAGAACAAGCATTGTGAGGATGCACCATATTGAATGTCATACAATTCCCTAAATGTATGGCAAGCCAATTATTGTTCAAGAAAATTGTAGTGTTTTTTGGTTTGAATAAAGTATTGGAAATTCATACAATAAGTACAACAAAAGTTCATATTCTTTACTTTTTTTTCCATTTCATATGCTTTATATAGTTATGTGTTGTATGTCAATAGCATCTCCTGATCAGATATTTGTGTCTGTGTCTTAACCAGCGACTCCTATGGTTCCTACTTGTGAGATTCTGCATACAACATCTCCCTCTGTCTGGACCTCCAATAGTCTGACCAGCATGTCCCCATCGGCCTTCTCCAACTGCCTGGAGCTGATGGGTCAGGACACGTTTCTCGCATCCTACCAGCGCAGCCAGGTGCTCAAGAGAGTCAAACAGGTGAGATCTGAAGTATTCCTCAGTCGGTCTAAGAACCTCTCAGATCTGTTTGATATGAGACTGTTTCCCTTCCTCAGTCCAGATATGAACACTTAGTGTCTGTGCTGTCTTTACTGGGTGTGTGCAGATATACGGCCCGGTTTCATCCTTCTCCCAGTCTGTGATCTCTCAGCTTGGAGGAATAACGATAGAGCTGACACTGGAGGAGCTGAGCAGCCTCCGACTGACGGAGCGGACAAGCATCGCTGCTCTGGGGTCTGTCAGCGCCTGGAGCAACAGACAGGTAGCTGCTGCAGGTGTAAAAGTTAACAAGTCGTACTAAGTTCTGAACAAATTTGGTCAAAGTTGATACCAGTGTGTCCCTTTTTTATTATTTTTATATTATATTACGTTACAAATATTTATTTTCTGAGAGCATAGTGTGTAAAATGTACATTAATCTATTACAACTAAGAATCATTTAATGAGCCAATGTCAAATCATAGTGGACAACAAAGTTGAACCCATTTGATGGGTTTGTTTTATGTTTTATATTAATTCACCAGGATTAAACTCCAGGTGTACAGCAGTTTAGTGAGAAACCACACAAACTTTAATTTTAGACATGTTTGATATAAAAATAAATCTGTCATATAAGTAAATGAACAACTAATACATTCAGTATTTTGGTACTTGAATGTTGTTGAAGTGCCCACCACCAATTGTTATGCATGACAAGGAGGCAAAGAAATACAAAAAAAGTTGTTTCCTTTAGAAAGGTCTCAAAAAATGCTAAACAATATCTTCATTAAAGTTGGACTGCTGTATTAGACTGCATTATGCCGGACTGAACAACTGTGATGATTAAGTGTGTTTAATGTCATAATTCTTGTTTTTTTTATCCCAGCTTTCTGCACTGTTTACCACTGTGTTAAACTCCACCAAACAAAGTCCGAGCCAGCTTGACTCCAGCACACTGGTGGCTATGGGATACATTCTGTGTGGAGCTAAAACCACAGAGATGAATTCTTTCAACGCTGTTGAGTTCAGGTGAGCAGATATAAAACAGGCTCTTTTTGATGCCTTATTTTTGAGAATAACTCTGCAGCTGACATTATTCAGTAGTAGTAATTTCTCCTCCCTCATCCACTTCCCATGCTGTGTCTCCCCCGGGTGGCTGCAGTAAGGCGGTGCTCTGGCTGGGTCAGCTGAGGCTCTCCTGCTCTGAGGAGCAGCTGCTGGCTCTTGTTGGGCTACTCGCTCACAGTCTGGCCTTTGGACCCATGAGTGCGTGGGGAACTGATATCTTCATTGAGATAGGAGTTCTGGCAGGTATTATGCCTTCACTATAAGGATTTTACGCACAATATTTCAAAATGTGTCATGGTTCTTCTGTAACTAGTTGCATTGTGGACAGCTGTACTAAATACCATTATACAAGGAAAAATGTGTAAATTCTAAATTGTGTAAATTGGACATCTGTCTGAGTTTCTTTTTACTGGATCCCAATATTTTTGACACAGGCGACTTTTTTTTACAGCTGGTCTCCCAGACATGGCTATGTCAGCTTTGGCGAAAGAGCAAATAGAAGGAATGACACCTGCAGCTGTCACAATGATACCATCTGATAAGTTTGCTGTAAGTCGACATTTAATTTAAACAATATTCACAGCATAATTACATTTCATGGTGAATATATTCTAAAAGGTCCTATATTGTCTTGTTTTCTTTTTTTGTCTATTTGTCTGTTTTTCATTTCCAAAAGGTGGTGTTTCACCAGAGACAGATCGGCATGTTCTCCTATGAGCAAGCGTCTGCAGTGACTGAGGAGCAGCTCTCTGCTCTGTCCGACGTTCAGAGGACCGCTCTGGCTCTGGTGCTGACACCGTGGGAGGACAGGCCTGTAGACTTCAGAGGTAAACCACTAAAACCCAGACAACTCTTGTTTCACTGATGACAGTAAAGAAGGGTCTTTTTTTCTAAAGCTGAATTGTTGTTTTTTTTAGCTCCAAGCGAAGTTATGTCCCAATTCCATATTATTATTAATTATTAATCAAGATATATAAAGCTATATACTAATGTTCATAATATTGTATCTTTGAAGTTAGTATAACAGAGATGTACTTATGGTTGCACTGAATGTAAATCATATTAGATTTCCACTGACAGACATCACTCAAACTTTATTTAAATATTTCCAAAATAAACTTAGTCCAACAACAAAGAAAAGGAAAATGTATTTCCAAATATCTAATATTTAATTGTATTGTTTCGTTGTCTGAGGTCATCCTGGAGCTGTCTCACATCATCTACATTTTGTTGATTTAAATAGCTCCTAAATATAATATCCTCAATTTTGATTGTTCATGTGTGTATACAAAATCCTAGTTAGGAGTAGAAAGAAGTGTGGAATTGGGACAAAGTCAAACACAATTGGGGGATTTATAAGAGATTCAACTATCTCACAATTACATACAACTTACTGTTTGATAGACTAATAATAGTTTAGTATAATATACAATCAAAACAAATATCACCACGAGAGTAATAGCGAACAACATAAATGCTAATTGGCTCTTTTTGGAGGGGAAATTTCTTTCACAGTGTTTTTTGTTATGACATACAAAAGCAGAATACCCACACGTATCATTTATATTGCATGGCTCTATGATGGTATTGGTTTCACTGTGTTCCTGCAGGGAAGTCAGGGGCGCTGGCACTGGGCCACAGTCCTCTGTGTCTCTCTCTGGGACTGCTGATGCTGCTCATCGTCCTGCCCTGCCCCGCCCTCCTCTGCCCCGGCACATGACCCCACTCACCCCTGCTGGATCAGGAAACAACTCCTCACCCACATAACCAATATTCTCATTTATCTATGCAATACCTCGTTGAAATAAGCAGCACTTCAGGATTTCTATTGTGTAATGACAATGTTATTTGTTTTGTGCATCTTTCACTTATATTTACACATCAACATTCAGCACTGAAGGAACCAAAGTATGGTTTAATTAGAACAAAAAACAGTACATATTAATATATACATTATAAACAGCATATCTATCGACCAACACTGACCATTTTTTTCATTACACTTGGCTTATTTATTCATTTTATAAACCTCTATGCTCCACTTCAAAGTATCTTCTAATGTGATGCACTACCCAGAAAAACAACCGAGACACTTAAAATATTTAAATACACCTACAAAGTTATATATTTTTGTGAAATAATATATTATTTTTGTCAGAGTAAGAGTTGTTATGTTTGCTATATTTATATATCTATTGTGTGTTATGATAAGATAACAGGTATGTTCAAAGAGACTTGATTCTACTAGTTTCGGTGAACTTGTCAGTCTTACTTTGCTGTGAGTTTTGTATTGTTGTGCACACTTTCTGGTGTGATAAATACAGTCTTAAATTATGAACCAATCTGCCTCTGATTGACTCTTTTTATTTCTTAATACATTCATCAAAGTGGAATCAAACAAAGGGTAGAAAATATCTTCTCACAATTCTCAGTAATATCTCACATCCATCTACACTTTTGCTAAATAAAACTGGGAATATCTCTTTTATCCATCCTTTTCATTTTAAGTTTGTTCACTTCAGCAACTCTGGCCTGCAAGAGTCCAGATGTAAAAAGCTCTGGTTAAAATATTGTATTACTTTACACAGAAATCATTATCACACAAGCAAGTGTGTTTAGACCACTCATTTTAACTTCCCAGATCGACAGTTAAGGATGTAACCTGGTTTCATTTGCGCAGCCTCATTGCTGTGATATTTGAGTAGGACTGCTTAGCTTATCAGATAAAACTGAATGATCACTATCATCTGTAGTTAAACTTTGCAAGTAATATATAAATTATGTAAAATAATATACAAGTATATTTATTTTTACTTTTTTAATTAACATTACAAGATAGCAGGTTAAATAAAACAATTATGGACAATGTATTCAAATCATTAAGTCAACATTACGAGATAGTAGATCAAGTTCCTGACCTTTTTTACTAAAATTATGATTACAAATTTGACCTACTTACTAGCTAATTATTTTGTATTTATTATCTAATAATTTGAATTAAATCTGAAATTGTTGATTCATATTATTTTGATTTTTAAAAAATACCATAACAACCCACACTTTATCAGCCTTGTTTGGCATTTGTGTCTGTGTTTTTTCTGTTTTCTGTAACAACCAAGCAGGAATACAAATGATCAAACATTAATACTTTAAATTAAACTAATACATTGGTAAATATATAAAATGATTAAAAATATTATACAAAATGATGTTGCTTTTTAATATAGTTAATTTGTTTTAATGAAAATATTAAAAAAACTGGTTCCCACTCCCCCAAAATAAATCACATTTATGAATGTACATGTAATGTAGATATAGTTGTACTACTGTTATACCAAACGTCATCTACGACTACAAGATACATTTATTTTCTGCTATAAATACTGTTGCTACTTATCTACCTAAATGTGTACTTCTGTACATTTTAATAATTGTATTTCAAATATTATGTGCATGCCTTTTTATTTAATAGTGTTATAACAATGTTTTCTCTATCTATACTTTGCTGTAACATCTGTTGGAGGAGGAGGAGGAATACAGTTACTCTGAATAAACAAAAACCTAGAATGGGATTGATTCGAAAATACTTAAATGGGTTATATGTAATTGTTTAAAATGTGATTACCCGGCCTGCCATATCAGTGTCCAGTCGCATGAAGAAGCCCAGGGAAGCAGCCAGGTCACAGGATCAGTGACGTCCAGAAGGTGGGAGCTGTTTGTGAACCAACGGGCTGCCGCACTGACTGACTGCGAGCCTGTCAAACACAACCAACACAGCCAACATGGCGGACTGGGGTGAGCAACTTAAGTTATGAAGGATAGCTAACTGTTCATCATTCGCTTGTCACAGTCGTTGATTTACAAACCCCACGCTTTACCCGTTATTGTCAAACTCAGTCGTTAGATGTGGATTGCACTAACGAAGATCATGTTGTGGTTTTACAGACGCTGAAACCTTCGAGCCGGAGGAGCCGAATAAAAAGGCGGCAGTGGTTGACAAATGGGAAGGCGAAGACGATGAAGACGACGTTAAGGTAAAGGAAAAAAAGCTGAGATTTAAGTTCAAATCAGTTTCGCCGTTACTGTTGTTAACGCTAACGTTGTGTTTTAGCGGCGGTGCCATGCTTCATGTCAGGCTGCTGTCAGTCTTCCGTCCTGAGTTAGCTTTGTGCTAACGGAGGCTAACTCATGTGGCTCCATCAGTCAGTCTGTTAGCTACCGTTAGCCTGATAACTCGGCTTCCATATGGCCTTAAAGCACCGTTGTCACAAGTAAATGTTCACCAGTCAGTAAACGATTGTGGATTAAAACGGATTAATGGACCCTTAATTGTATTTGCCTTTGTTTGTACGATATGAATAAGCAATGTTAATCTTGGATATACGGGCTAAATTCAGATAACGTAGCTAACCTCTTACCGGGCCACTCAGCTAGCTATCAGTTCGCTATGAAAATGAGCTTTAGCTAACCTCGACGATAGAGGGCTTTAGAGTCCCTTTGTGGATGATATTGACAGTGATGTCATCGTTGCCCAAAGTGTGTTGCATTACATGATTACAGGAGATTATAATTTCTCCCGGATGCCTGAGTTTCATCCAACATATGGCTGTTAGCGAGCTAACCAACTTTAGCCACAATGAGATGTTATCATCATCCTAGTTGATGACTCAACTCAAGGCAAGGACGAGGCCTAGAACTTTCTAGAACTTGACAACAGGCAGATGGTATGAGACTCGATGCATAGCTGCTTTTCAGGTGGTTATTAGCTGTATGTCGTGATGGTTGTTGTCGAGAAACCTCTGATAATTGACCTAGGGAAAGTGCTGGTAGAGGCCTCTTCAATTGTTCAGTTTTCTGTCACATATGGTTCCCAAGCTAAAGACACTGATGAGTCAATGTCCTCTATAGCTCAAACTGTGGTCAAGTCAGGGACTGACATAACTTGTTATTGTACAAAATATATTATTTTGTAATTTCAAGTGGATTGTATTAATGTGTTATTGCATTTACTGTAAGCTCAAATACAATAGCCTCCGTTCCATTATACCAATTGAGTTATTACGTATAAGTAAAGGGTGGATTTAAGTGATTAACAATGATTATGTGGATATTGTAGCGCATTACAACACTGACTTATTTGTAGACTTTAATTACATGTTTTAACTTGGGCGTTGCATCAGTCCCTAGGACAATTGGAATTTGCTTAGGGCTGTGCCAAGTAGGACTGTTATTGTAACTATTAACAATTATTTCATATCCTAGTATTTATAATAATACATTCAAAACAACACGTCAAATAATAATATTTCCAATGTCCCCACTACAGTTTTATATTAGCACTCAATTCTTTAAATGTTTTTAAACAAACTTGAGTTATTAGTAGATTCATCCATTTGATAATAAAATCATATAAATACAATCTGATCTCACTGAAATTGAGTTTTATATTGATAAGAATGAACCTCGACTCACCCAGCTTTGCATGCTTTTCTTGCATAAATGCCCGTGAACTGTACATATTGTGTAGTTACATTGGTTTAGGCTGGAAACCGATCTGAACGCCTCATTATGCAGTACTTGAATTATTAGGAACATGGGTATTTTTTGTTAGTGAGGCTTATTTGTAAAATTAAGGATGTTTATGGCTATTTTCTGCAATTTTTCTGATTTGTGTATATATTTGATGGTGTCTAAGGGATGTACTGTTTGTGTGCTATACGAAAAGTTAATTTACATTGTTAAAATGGGTAATATAATCTTTTTAACTGTTCCAATAGATTTTTTAACAGTCACGTTATTCTAGTGTTGTTGCCTGTGTAACTTGGATGCTTAAATGAAAATGTTCCCACCTTTTTGTTCACAGGATAACTGGGATGATGACGAAGAAGAGAAGGAGAAAAGGGCAGCGATGAAAAAAGGTATGTATTTAATTTCCTCTTCGTTATTTTAAATCCCTTTACATTATATGCTAATAAGTGGCATAGTTGTCTGCTTTCACAGCAAATTCACATGTGGTCTTATTCCATCATTAACATTTTCAGAGGCAAAGGTTTCTGAAAAAAAAAAGTTGAGTGAGAAGATCAAAGAGAAAGAAAACCGGTTAAGGAAAAAAGAGGAGGAGAAGATGAAAGAGTTGGAGGAAAATGTGAGTTTTTTTTATCCTCATGGCTTTAACAGTTTTATCATTCACAAACGTCTGTCATCTCTTAATACTGTTTTCCTTTTGACTTTATATGTTCTTACAGGAAGAAGAGCTCTCTCCTGAAGAATTACTTGCAGATAAGTTAAGAGTGAAGAAATTACAGGAAGAAGCAGACTTGGAGCTAGCAAAAGATGCTTTTGGTAAGACATCATCACCCTTCAGACAAAAATGGAAAAATGTAACTGCTCCTCTTTATCTTAAATTGCAAACATTTAAAAGCTTTCCAGAATACACACTACTTCCTTTTTTTGTGATGATGAAATTGCACCACTACTGCATACACAAGAGTGCGTAGTTTATGTTCGTATTTGTATGTTTAACTTGGCCTATGATGGTTCAAGTATATGCTTGATTGCTTCCTTGGTTGCTTTAACCATTTACATTAGAATTTGCTTGTATTCTGGTGTTATGCAGCATTTTGAATTGTCACAATAGGAACAGAATAATAATTGCTGAATTCCATTTACACCCTTGAGCATATAGTTAAAACAGTAATAATACAGTTCCAATACATGAACACAAGTATGGCTTTGCATCTGTGACTCTGTATGCCCTTTTTTTCCCAGGTGTCAGCAGCACTGCAAGTAGTGTCACTGGGCTCGACGCTATGTGTCCATCTTCCAAAGAAGACTTTACAGAGTTTGAAAACAAGCTGAAGGAAAAGATATCCCAGTTTGAAACATCTGTGCATTATTCAAATTTCTTGGATTCTTTGTTTCGGGAACTCTGTATTTCATGTAAGAACAACATCTTGTACAAATGTTTTTCATTTGATTATATCTCTTTATTACTGTATCTGTAACTTACATTAGAATCATTGCAGGCTTAACTTTTTTTCTTTCTCCTTCTAACAGTGGAAATAGAAGACTTGAAGAAAGTCAGTAATTCCCTGACAGCCCTACTTAGTGAAAAACAGAAACAAGAAAAGGTGAGTGTCTTCATTCTTGTGATTTCTGATGTGTAGTTTATAGTCAGTAGGGGGTGCTGTTCACTTTGCACATTCAAAGTCAATATAGAAATCAACTGCGTTATGCCACTTCTGGTTGGTCGTTAAACATTTGTGTGGTTTCTACAGTTTATGTGTTAACTTAATGCTGATATGTAACATGCACAATTGTGTTTGCAAGGTTGATTTAGAGA